ATCTGAAGTAATAACAAATGAACAATTTCATGAAGACTGTTTATAATGATGTAAGCATAGAAATATCTAGAGTTAAATGACAAAAGTTAAAGCTGAGAAAGGAATAATGAGTTCAAATATTTTAAGGTAGTCTCATTTACAGGAGGAAATAAAAATGCAACTTAATAAGACTGTATGCTATAATTTCAAAGGCAATTATAAATGAAGAGTATAAGAATATATAGTTGACAAGCAATTAGAGGAGAAATTGTAAAAAACAAAATAAAAATAACTTGATTGATACAAAGGGAAGAAAAAAATCAGGAAAAATAAATACAGGGTAGATAAATAGAAAACAAATAATAATGTGATAGCTATAAATGTAAATATATTTGGAGTTACATTAAATGCAAATGGATGAGATATTCTAATTTAAAAAACAGTGAATTAGAACCCACTTCATATTGCTTATAAAAATAAACATTAACTATAAACACAGAAATATTCAAAATAAAACAGTGATAAACTATATACCATGCAAAATGCAATCTGAAGAAAAACTATTATTTGTATTAATCTTGGAAAAATGCAGAAATAAATCAGAGGAAATTACAAAGAACAAAGAAGAATGTTAAAGCTGAATTGAACAGAAATACAAGGTCCAGCAGAGGTACCGCCTGCTTGAGTATGCCTGGTAGGGTAGTGATATGGGTGTAATAATTTATAGTTTTTATTTGAACATTTCTTTAAAATGTCATATGGCGTGCTTAAGTGTGATATTGTTATGTTGCAGAATTACATGCTTATGATTTTGTAATAAAGCAGGGGCATTATTTGTGCTGGACCCTATATATAACAACTCTAAATGTATATGCAACTAGTAACATAGTCAAAAAAAATATATAAACTGTAAATTATTAGAACAACAACAAAAAGCCTACAAAGTCTGAAAATTTAATATCTTTCTTGGTAACTAATAAAAGTCAGCAAGTGTTACAGAAGATTTGAACAACATGATTTACAAAGTTGACCTAAAAATCATAGGACTATAGGAATTCTTATAATAACTCTTTGGTAAAATAAATGGAAATTAATGATTGAATATTTTGAATAGTTGAGTATTCATTTTTGGAATAATAAAAATATGACTATGTAGATTAATGAGTGTTTAGAAATTTATAATTTTAAAAGCAAAAAAAAAAACAAAACCCTAAAACCAAAAACCCTTGACAAATCCATGATCTAAGTATTAAGCTTAAAGAGTTTGGAAAAAAGATGAAAAATAAAAAAAATTAAGGAGGAAACATAGAATTAACAGAAAGCAAATATACAGTAGAGAAAATAAAATGACCAGGGGTTGTTTCTTTGAAAAGTCTAATATAATTTATAAGCATATTCCAAGTTTGATTGGACCAAAAAATAATAAAAGTTACAACTTAGTGTCAGGAATGAAAAATTAGAAATCAATAATGTGGACATTAGGGATAATGAGTATACTATAGTTCTCTGAAAATAAATTAATGCTGGTAAAAGAAAAAAATGCTAAATCTAAATCTGAGTAATCTTATGACCATTAAATACCTTGAGTCTGTACAATCTCATAAGGAGAACTATGGGTGAGATAAAACTCATGGGATAAGCTGGATGGTGGCATAGGAGGTCCCCAACTTCTGTCTCTCCCAATAAACACTATGACAGCCATCCACAGACAAAAATGCCTTTATGGGGGAGCTTTAGCATCCAGGTAGAAGGTTATTAGACTCCAGTGAAGCCTAAGACTGAGGAGAGCCATGTTGAGAAGGCAGGATCATGGGGTCAGATTTGCCAAACATGGTCCCAGTTGCAAACTGGAAGAAGCCCCATGCCCCTGTAGACTTAGCCCACTTGCCTCAGGTCTTGCACTAGTTCCATTTGCCTCTGTGCGTGGAGGCATTCAGCTGAGCAGGCCTTGGGTCCATTCGGAGCCCTAACAGTAGTTTTCAGAAGATAGCGACGGAGAATGACTTGGGGCAGACAGAGATGTATGAAACAGGGCTTCACTATTAAATACAAAATTGATAAATTTAACTTTATTAATTTTATAAGCTTCTGATCATAAAAAGACATCATGAAAAGAGTGACTAGGCATTTCACAGACTGGAAGGAGATACTTGAAATGTATATACCTAAAGGAGAACACACATTGACAACACATATATTGCACAAAAAAGAATTACGAAATAGCTAGTAAGTATATATAAAGATGTTTAAAAAAAGATATTCAACATTAGTCATTAAGAAAAAAACAAAAACCAAAAACAAGTTAAAACCATAATGAGATACCTTTCCATGACACATTAGAAGGGGCAAAATTAGTTTTAGAAAATAACAATACAAAGTGTAGGCAAATATATGGAGGACCCATAATTATTTTAAAATACTGATAATTGTATAAAACTGGTACAAGTCATTTGGGAAACTCCTTGGCATGACCAATTATGTATATGTATATATATATATATATATATATATATATATATATATATTCACACACTATATATACACACAGATACACCCACACACATGCATACACACACACACAATATATCTAAGAATTCCATTCCTAGCATCCTTAGTAATTGCTTAAAACAGAAATAATTAAATTTTCCATCAAGAGTAAAATTTATTAATTAATGAAGATATTTATGAGGTGAAACACTGTAGAACTGTGTCAAAAGGACAGGTCACAGATAATTTTGATTGAAAAACACAAGACAGAGAAGCAAAAATATCAAGGACCATCCCATTCATATGATAAAACAACATTTTTTTTTTCTCTTTTTTAAAGAGGCAAACTTATCTATGACTTTCGTCAGAATGGCCCTTACCTTTGATGCAGGGAATAATGAGTAAAATGAGGCAAGAAGGAGGCTTCTGGGTCACTGGTTATGTTCTATGTTTTAATATATAAGGTGGTTACAGAGGTGCATTCACTGTGTAAACATTCATGGAATGGTATAGTTAAGACTTTTTACTTAGCTGAATGTTACACTCATTAAAATAAATAAAATATGAAAAATGGTGTTACTGATATCAGAATATTTAAACTCTTAGTAGGCTACCCCAACTTGTGTGTACGACAGGAGCGGCGGCAGAAGGCAGGGCGAGGTGTAAGGGTGGTGGTAAAATAGCAGGACAATGACAATAACAAGAACAATAATAAATAAGCACTAGTCATTGGCATAGCAGATGAGAGAGGAGGAGGGAGAAAGTAAAAACACTTTCCAATCTTTTAAAAGAGATGCTGTAATTATTGTGTAATTATTCATATAGAACATACAGAAGGAAAGAGCTCAGTGGGGCTAAGTTACTTGCCTAAAATTATGGATATTTATATAATAGAATTGGGACTAGAACCCAGGTAAGATTCTTAACTCCATACTTTTTCACTGCATTAAAAAAATAACTTAGAATAGAAACATCTCGTTTTGAAAGGAAGATCATTTTGCGCTAATGGACAGATTTTCAAAGTTTTGTTTGCTTTAATAATAATAATATATATAACTTGACCTGCAAAGATAAACCAGCAGAGGGGAGAATACTTAGAGGGCATAATATTGACTAATTACCAAAGACCAGATGTTCCTGATGATCCTAATTGTTTTACACTGATGGGTTTTGCCTAGGACATTACTATTCTACTCCAAGGTAGAGTTATGTGTCAAAATTCTCAATGTCAGTGAGGCCTTTGCAACTTAAAGGAAAAAATTTGAAACAAATAGGTCATGTCTGCCAAAGGTAGTTACAATATCGGGACACGAATTTTCTGCATCCCCAAATTTCATTTTATTTTTCAAGGAGTTTGGAACTGCTAGACTTGGGACCAAAAGACCTTTAATTATTTTATTATGGCATTTCATAAATAAAAATGTTTGCTGAAAGTAGATGTATACTAGATTATCATTTTATATTTTCATGTCAGATTAGCCTTTTTGTTTGCAGAATCATGGACTCTGGGATCCCTGAATAGGAAAAGTTTCTCCTTATTGAATTGATCTCAGGCATTGATATTCCTCACATTCCCCCATGAAGTCTTTATAGGATATATCTCATTTCAGACCAGAACTTTTCTACTATGGCTGTGCTGACTTGTTCCCTACCTTAATCTGATGGGTGAAGGCTTTTTATGTGATTCGCGTAAGCACAAAATTTGGTAAACAGAGTGAGGGGGGAAAAAAGCTTGAAGACACCATAGTCAAGAAAGCCAATGCTTATGCAACACACACACAAACGCGCGCGCGCACACACACACACACACTTTATCACTCCCAGGATACACAGTACTTTGCAATTTTAACTCAAAGATGAAAAATAAAAATCCCTTTTAATTCTAGCCTCTCTTGTAGTCTCTTAAAGAATATCCCTCCCTACCCTCTCCCCTAAGGTGACTAGAGCTTAGAGACCATTTGAATCTATACATCAATGCAACAGAAAAAGATTAATAAGAGTTATCATTAGAATTACTGCATTGCATACTCCTTGGTGTATTCCAAGCCTTGTCCCTTGAATCTGCAGTATTTTGCCTTTCTAGCCAGAAATTTGCATTATCTGGTTTCCTCACAGCTAGGTTCTTCCACATCAGGGTTGCTTAACTTCACTACTATTGCTATTTTTACCCAGATAATTATTTGTTGCTGGAGGCTGGCTGGTACATTGTAGGATGTTGAACAGCATCCTTGGCCCTCTGCCCACTATCTGCCTGTATCACCACTCCCCTGATACCCAGATTTGGCAACTGAAAATGTTTTCAGACACTGCCAAATGTCCCTGGGAGGCAAAATGGTCCCCAGCTGAGAACCACTGTCCTGCAGAATGACAACAAACTAGAGAAATACAGAGGAAGAAGAGAGAGAGCACTCCTGAGGAGTATTTTAAGATGATATAAGCTTTCCAGAAGGATCTTTTATATCTGATAATTTAGGGAACTTTTATTCACAAGAGAGATAGCAATGTATCCAGGATTTCGGATCCGATCTGCTGTCATTGGCTTCACTCTACCTTTCTCTTCCGTTGGAGGTCAGCTCGTAATAATTTCAGTTTCTTTTGAATTTCAGTCAGAATATCTATTTTCTGCTCCAAAATCGACAATACCTTGGCAATGCAAAAATGAACATCATAGTTTACCCCAGCATCTGCCTCTTGGCTGTTGTTCCCTGGCCATTGGCTTGATTCCTTCCATGAAGTTGCATCCTCCATTAATGGGGTGGGTAATGTTTCAGTTTCTCTAGTCTCTTCCTCCTCCTCACTCTGTACACACGATATTTTAATAAATTCATCTCTTTGAAGGGACATTTCTGAATTTCTAATGTGATTTTCCAACATCCTTGTCACCTCATGTCCAATTGGATAGGGACGATGGTGGGACCTGAAATCTAGAGTTAACTCTTTTACTCTATTTGCATATCTTAAAGTGTTGAGGGTGTTTTCACAGGAGGACATCCCTGGAGAGATAGTAGCAATCATGCAAGTGGAGGAGTTCTGGCCTATAAAGGAGTCCCGGAGCACCTGGGTGAGTTTGCTGGCTCTGAATGGCGTGTGAGACTTGTGCTGACCCAAAGCCCGGATGCATTCCTTGAGCGCGAGGAGACTCTTATTAATGTCCGCCCCTTCCAGCTGCCTTCTCCTGTTGGCCTTGGCAGTGTCAGCTCCCCTTTCGTTCCCAGCTAAGTCAACAAGGGATAACTTGCCGTGCAGTTCCCCTCGTGACTTGAGGATGATCTGGAACACCGCGTGGCTCCTGGAAGAGTGGGCATTGACCGATGTCTGTCCAGAAGTCCGGCAGCTATTGCCTTGTTCCACGAGGTTCAGCAGGTCCTCCACACAGCACGCCTCCTGCTCCTGCAGCCCGACCACCTGGACTTGCTGATGGCCATCCTCAAGGACCTGTAGCTGCTTCTTGAAGTTCAACAAATCATATACCTTGCCCCCATAAATCTCAAAAAATGTGCCATAGACTTTGAGGTCCAGCTTCTCATAAGCCGAGGTTTTGAGCAGGAGGAAGACATCCTGCGCCACCAAGGCATAAACACCTTTAGAACAGTCTTGGGCCTTCCCTGAGAAGGCCCCACCCATGGTGTGCGTCTTCCCGCTGCCTGTCTGCCCATAGGCGAAGCAGGTGGCCATGCCCTTGCGGAAGATGGACTGTACCAGCGGCTGGGCAGTGAACTTGTACACCAGCTCATTGGAGGCCGTGTCATCGAAAGCGTGGTCGAAGCAGAAGGTCTGGTTGTCCAGGTAGCGAGTGAGGTCCACTTTTTGCTTCGACTCGTGCACCACGACCACGTTGTCCGAGGGGATGGTGATGATATCCAAGTCCTTCATGGAGATCTCTTGCTGATTGAGGGGCCGCTTCCTCACGCAGACGCAGATCCGAGGGTCCTCCCGTGGCACCAGGCTGGACATCGTCCTGCTATCCAGGTCCCTGCGGTACTCTTCGATCATGCGCATGATCTCGTAGTTGGGGTTTCCCATGTGGACACCCAGGGCTCGTTGGGCTCGGATCTCCAGCTGCAACCGTCTGCGAGTCTCCCGCTGCTTTTGCAGTTTCTCAATTTCTCGGAGGCACGGAGACTTTTTCCACTTCATTATGCAAGGGTTGCTGGGGACTTCCACAGCTAGGCTGTCCCCTGAGGGTGTTTCGTTTTTCTGGGGGATCGTTGCAATCCACCGCGTGGCCACACGTTGGTCCCCGGTGGCCGAAGAGGGCGCTAGAGACAAGGAAGACAATGACCTGGAGGGCGTGGATTGTTTAGCAGAGGCCAGCGCAGGATTCAGCAGGAATATGGTCTCTAGATCAATCTTCTTGCCTTTTTTGACTCCTTTTTCGACCCACTCTACCGTAACCCAAGCGTTTTCTCTTTTGAACTCTGAGACCACAGCGAGGTGGATCCGCCCGTCACTGCGCTGGATCGCTACACAGATGCCCTCTTGGATGTCTCGGAAGTGGGCCTTCAAGGGTTTCAAGGACGAGAGGGGCTGAACGACAGGGAGGCATAACTGGCTGGCCATGGTGAATGATGGTGGTGTCAGGGCTCGCTTCTGGGGGTCTTTGGGGTTGGAGCAGCAGAACCTGAGCCCAAGCCAGCCTCAAGTGCCCAGAGCATTGAGTGCACTTACGTTTGCACCTGCCTTTGTGACCCGCCAGCACTAGGGCTCCATGGGGCCCCCTCGCGTCACAAAGAAGTGGGGAGAAGAGCCCAGGGCTTCTAGGTGAAAGATGGACGGGAAAGGCTCACGTTTGCGGCGCTAGGTACAAGAGAAAAGGCAGCTGGAATAGAGACATTGTCCTCTGCCCCTGAGGGAGTAGAGATCGGAGTTGGGACTAGGGCGTATGTTCCTTGGACAGTTGTGCTTAAGTTTTAAAAACATATTTTTCCCTGAAGTCTCGCCCTATGATCTCAAAGCTAAGTGAATTAGCTGAGAACAGGTGAGCGTTGCCTTGCCTTACACTTCAGCCCTCCAGCGGAGGGACAAGTGAAAGCGAAGCTGTTTGCAAGTCTCTGGCTTCTGTGGACGGGATCCCAGGGAAACTCCCTCGCACATGCCCTCTGTCTTCCTCACCCTTCCCTCGGAGCTTGTTTAGTTGTCCTAACTTAACGTTTCAGGGGCTTTCTCACTACAAAAATCAAAACGAGTTGGAGGTAGCATGTTCTTCTGATAATTGGCCAATACACAATTTCGTTTGGTGAAGCACTGGAGTTGGCAAACTCAAGATGTTTATCACATTCCAAGAGGCTCTTGACAGCTCTAAAGTGGGTTTCGTTGCCCTGCAGTCACTACTATTTTTGAGATTATATCCATAGTTACCTTTCCAAATTCACTTAGTAATTGCACTTCTAGCCTCATTATCTATAATTTGGAGAGAAAGGAAAGGCATTTGGTGGAAAGATGATGGCGTACCGCTTCCTTACTCTAAAAAGTGTGTGCGCATTTGGGGGGTTGGGAGGGGGTTAGGGTGTTGCAGATGGAAGGGCAGCTAAGATGATCAGAGGAAAAAATATATTTTGGCAAGACTGCAAATTTTTCTGTTGGATGATTTGCCTGCAAAAAACCAAACAAAGAATGACATCAACTGCCAGACAGGCTAACATGAGGCTTAAGGTGACACCTGATGTTTAACTTCCCTTTCGTCCATACACCACATTGTGTTTTGGGCTGTGAGTCTGGTCGTAATTGCACAGAGAGCTACAAAGTAACATGAAGTGGCAAAGTAGCATGAAGTAGCATGGAGTCCCAACAATCCTCCTTAGGACTCAGTGACATGGAAACAAACTCTTGTTATAAACTGACTTTTCAGTAAATGTAGTAAAGCTTAGATTTTGGAAGATGCTGTGGGGCTCTTGGAGAAGCACACACGGGGCTCATTTCAAGAGGATGTTGAATCTCAGCAGAGAGAGGGGAGAAAGGGCTTTATCCAGTTGTCTTTTTATTATTATTTTTATTTGCCCAATTATCAATATTTAAAGTTGTGCTTTAAGTCAGCTTTTCTCCCTACTTAGGTAAACGTTTTTATTCCCTCTATATGTCACTAGGTGAAATTATATTTCAAAAGCATTGTTACTTTAGAGCTTTTAATGATTTTTTTTTACCTTTACCTTTGAAAAAGCAAAGCCTCTCTCAAACTTATGCAAACTTCAGCTCTTTTCGTATTAATCGTATTTTTATACCAAAGGCAATGATTTGTATAGATAATAGGTGGCTAGGTCTATGATAGTAATGCAAAAATCAGAGACTAAAGATTTTGTTATTTTTTCTTCTGTCCAACATATTCATAAAGTCTTTTTAGCTACGTCAGGGCTTTTATTTCCCCTCAGTTCTCTTTTCCCTTATGTAGTTTTTCTAGGGAATCTCATTTGTTGCCACAGTTTAATTATATATTTCATTATGTTTTTATAATATTATTACTATTATATAATATTAGAATGTTAATATTAATATTAGAATATTGTTAAATATTAACATATTTTAATATGAACCATATTTGGGTATATGAGAGAAGGAGACACACCACTTTGGAATTTTTAATTGCTTTTAGTAGCTTCCACATCTACCTCCTGACAAAAGCCAAAACAGGTCTTTGTCTGGTCCTCCTCCTGAGCCAATACTAACTGGAGTTTAGAAGTCCTTTCCTAGCCCCTAGAAGTCTTCTATAACTGTGACATCTTTTACTCTCCTAACCAATAATTACCTTGTTTCCTTGGGCAAACTTATCCTGTCAGGGGCTCGGTCTATTTCTCACATTGTTCCTAGAGTTATTTTAACAGGTAATTTCTTATTAATTCCCTGCTAACAAGCATTGCAGTAACTCTCCATCATTCTAATTGACACAGTACAAATTCCACAAGAGGGCACATGATGTATACGGCCCTCTTGCCTATGTTTTCATACTCAGTCTTTACCACCATCCACACACTTAGTCTAAATTTGAGCCATAGTGAAGAGGCTGAGGTCTTTCAAGGACATCATTTTCTTTCAAATTGCTAATTTTTAGCCCAGCAGTTCTCAGTATTAGGGTGCATAAAATTCACCCAGAGAGCTTGTTAAAACACAAATTGCTTGGTCCCACCCTTGAGATTCTGATTCACTAAGTGTGAGGTAGAGCTAGCTTGTCTAACAAGCTCCCAAGTCATGCTGATGCTGCTGGTCTGGGACCACACACTTTGAGAATTACTGTGTTAGCCCTCCGAGCAGAATAGCCTCCCTTTCCTGCCTCATTTTCTTGAACTCTTCCATGCTACCTCAACTGATACTTCCTCTGGAAAGGTTCCTCTGACCCTGTTGATAATGATCAGTCAAAATACCATTAAACTGAGATATCTCCTACTGAGAAATAATTACTGGTTGGATTTGTTTGATCAGGGGAACCTATAAGCTTCATTTTCAATAGTGACTATTTGAAAAATCCCATATGTTAACATAACACTAATCTATTTGTGGAGAGTCATTGGAGTATTTTTAGTTTTGATCATCTGGAACTTCGTTTGCAACAATATCTTTTGTATCTACTGAGACAAATGCAGAATTCAGGCACCATCTACATAACATTCTCATTTTATGGACTTTAAGAAAATACTGTGAATCTTTAGTAGTGAGGTCAATATATTATATGTTAAAGTGTGAAAACCTGGTTTCCTACACATTTTGGTATCATTCATATTGGCCCTGGTCTGGATGACTGCTTGATAGATGGGCAGTTTCTCTAGATTCGAGACATACACAACCATGATTTTTTTGGACCAAATATAACCAAGCAATAAGAATATACAAAATGCTTGCCATATATTATGTCCTGCATCAAAATAATTCTACCCTCAAGAGCTTACCATTTACACATTTTGTTTTATATACCTACTAAAAAATGTATGCCTTGACAAACAACTACTATATCCTCTTCATTTCAAATCCCTTTTTTTCAAAAGTCGAACAAATATTGTGTAGCCCTACAAGGAAGGGTTGTGTGGCAGAAAGCTAGCACAGGAAATGAGCTTAGTGATTTTCATTTATTAAATACAGGTATATGCCCCTGTCGAGGCCTGTCAGATTTGCTTTACAGGACAGAATGTGATTTCTAGTCTCATTTTAGATACAGACCTCCCAGGAGAAATGCATCAACTGTGTGCATTTCTAACACTGGTGCAATGGACATCTCACAGCTGTTTGATCACCTGGGAGTCTGTACTTTTCCAATATATGGAGGCAACCTGAGATTTATTTCTTCAGAGGAGCACAGTAGATTTTCCCAAATCTCTTCGAAGAAATGGAATTCATCATTTACAGTTTAAAAGTTAATTTTGTAAGAGTAAAGAGATACCTTACAAAGTGTATGCCCCTAAAAAACAAAAGAAACTAATTTTTGGAATGAGAATAGCATTTTACCCTTTCTGCTAGCTAGTATCCCTGTCTTCTGACATTTCACCATTTCTGCCATGCACTGTCTTAGCAGAACAGACAAGTCCACATTCCTCTGGTCCTCTCACTGGTGTCAAAGGCAAGCATTGTTTCTATGACAACAACCTTAACTCAGAGCTATCTTTCCACAACTTATTAAATAGTGATGCTTACCTGGGGTATATTTATGATATCTGTTGATTGTGAAATTTAGTCTATGAAGTTAGTCGAATGGTAAAACTAAAAATGGTCAGTGTCTCACTTTAAACCTTGTTCTGCTGGTTTCCTTTCAGTTTTCAATTTTATTTAGCATGCCAAAGGGAGAGGCTGGGGTTTTGCTATAGTGCACATATCAGTGTTATTTGCTTATAACTCATTCTAGAATTATAGAAATCATGTTACTTGTAAACAAAGTAGGTGCTTTTGTAGCTCAGCTCCAGCTCTTTAACTTGAAAACCATGTGCTGTATTTCTTACCCTGAGAGTCTTTTTTAGATTATGTAAATCAGGGTATTTAAATTAATCTGCTATGGAATGAAAATCAATAGAGACACATAGTATTTGTGTGAGAAATAATTGTAGGAACTTGGATATTTGTCTAGAGAAGGTTTGAGAGACAGACCCTATAAAAGGCTACCCTATTGAAGAGTAACGTAATTTGTTCTATTTGATTTAAGGTCTGCGAACATTCAATAAGTCAAGTGCTAGGCCATCAAGACTCAACTCAGCATCACTTCTCGTGAAAAGCATCCCTTGACCTCCACAGCTTCCTTTTCTCTGCCCAAGTCACAGCTAGATGAGTTGCTTTCTTCTCAATTCCCACCTTTGTTCCACAGTAATTGACATCACACTTACATTTTTTTCATTATTAAAAGGATCGGCATCTTTCTCTCTAGGTAGGTAATTAAGAGCCTTGAGAGAAAGGAAGAGAACACTTGACTTGTGTTTGTATACCCGGTGTCTGGGATATGGATTTACTGTTTCCTACAACTAGAAAAATTAGCACAATAGATGGATGTTTCAGAGACTTCAGGTCAAATTAACGAAGGACTCCATTCAACAAACTTTAATGACTGTCTCCTAATTGTCAAGATCTGAGTGAAAAGCCAAATATGAAAGAGT